TGTAAAATGAGCGTTACCTTGGCGATATTTGAAAAAATATGATTCCCAATGCACACAAACTTCCCAGAATAGGGAGTGCCCTGTTGGTTACAGTGTTTACTTCCTTTTTTATTATATTTTTTATTAAATATTCATTTATTTGTGAAAAATACTTTGTCATCTAATTTATGTTTATTTAACATTTATTTTTTAATCCATTTTCAAATGATTTCAAATTTCTTAAATATTAATTAAAATAAATACAATTATATCGGCCACCCTGCTTTGCAAGATATCGGCAGTCAAAAAACCAATATCGGTCGACCACTATTTAGCATACAGCACTGTATTGAACAACACCTACTTTTCAACTGATTCTTCAAACATGCAGTCTGTGGACTGACTAAACTGAGCCTTCTATGCATTGCACTTGCATCTGATATGCACAAATTACTAGGACTGTTAATCAAAGAAAAAAACAATAAAAGAAATTAATTCTAGGATATGAAGATTAAGTAATAAAATGACTCATATATTGATTTTACTGAAAAATAACATCTCAAATAAAAATATTTCAAAGACATCATTTTGGAAGATGAGTAAAGGGTCATTCCGTGACAATTCAACTCCCAGGTCCCCGGCTCAAATTTTTGATTGTCAATATTTTTTTCTGAAGAAAGATAAACATGTATAGTGATGAAAGCCAAAATATTAAATGTCATGGATGTATATTTACTGAGTAATCCATTATTTAGTAGAGATGGGTCAAAATGACCATTGTCACCTGAGATTTGGAGCCAAATTATAGGAGGGTAAAATAATTTTAGAAAGATTAAAGCATCATCATGTTATTTTTACACAGAGATTGGTATGTCTGTTAGTAAAATCTGTTGACCTTAACGAAGATGCCAAAAGGAAAGTTTGTTAAGACCCCAAATCTAAAAGGGCATTAAGATATCTTTAATACTTCCTGAGTTACAGGCATGCAAACTTTGGAGAAAAAACTTGATAAGTGCTATTTCCTGTTTTTCAATGGTCACCACTGGCATATACTGCAACAAAGATTGCTAAAGTCAACAGATTTTACTAACAGACATACCAATCTCTGCATAAAAATGATATAATTTGGTTCCAAATCTCAGATGAAAATTTTAATTTTTTCCCCTCTACAAAATAGTGGATTACTCAGTAAATATACATAGTGACGTTTAATATTTTGGCTTTGATCACAATGCATGTTTATCTTTCTTCAGAAAAAAAAATAAAAAATTTGAGCTGGGGAAACTTCTGAAAGTTGGTTGATTTGACAGGGAATGTCCCTAAAGCACTGAATATTACAAAAAAGTAGTAGCAGCATATGGGTCAAGGACATATTTCAAATGCATTCTTGAACTTTTTAAAATTAATATTAATATTATGCATTAAAATATGTATTCAAATAAAATATAACCTTGAACCTTTCAATTATCAGACCAGCTCATTAACTAGACTACATCAACAAAGAGAAAATCACTCGCTGCTTTTGACTGAATTAATTTTGTATCTTTAATAAGAATCATTTCAAATTTGATTCATTCAATGAAGACTATTCAGAGTTTTAGTTATATACTTGATTTTTCAATTTCTGTAGTATTTCTTATTACATGTTAAATAAAACCTACTGTAGCTGCACTTAACTTTTATTTAATTTGCATCTTTGTTCTATTGTATTTGTCTTATTGTTTGTAATTTGCTTCTTTGTTTATATTTTAATAACAAAATAATCATATATCATGATACATGCACACATATCATTATCGTGAAATAAAATTTCTCATACTGTGAAATAAGACTTTGGACATTTCGCTCACCCTCTGATGTTCTTGAATAACCTATGTGTCGTTATATCATATTGACACTTTAAAATGAGACTCTGAAGAAGTTCAGAGTAACTGGAGTAATCCCAGATACGTAGGAAGTCTGTGGAAGCCATTAATCTATTCAGCAAAAGGGAACACAGCCTTTAAAAGGGCCTTTAAAAGGGGAATTGCCATTTGAATTCCCAAAAGGATGCTACTCTCCTCCGTTAAACATCAATAACCCAGTGGCTGGTTTGTCTTTTAATATGTGTTTCTGTTCTAGAAGCTGTCGGAATCTATGTGGCGCTGCAGCTCTGATCAGAAAGTCTGGGGTGGTGTGGCCTCCAGCAGAGATGCATATTTGATATTTCTCTTGATAAAGGCCTAACAATTTAAATTATACAGTAGACAAGTTCCCCCAGAGCATGCCCACGAACCATGACATGTTGCATTAATTATTTACCTGTCATTTAACTCCAAAATGCCATATCTACTTACAGGGAAGCTGACCTTTGACCTCCCTGTGCTTATGCAAGATTTAGAGGAGCCTGGTCAGGTAGAAGCATTTATAGTTTGAAACAGAACAAAAAGATGTATGCAGCCTGCTTGACCAGCATACTGTATGTTGCAGGTCCTAAACTTTGTATGCTGGTGTCCCTATGCGGTTTTATAACTAGCTTAACCAGCAAGATAACTTTGGTCAACTAGCTTTACAGCAAAGCTATGCTGATCCCCCAGCTGTATAAGTGCAAAATTAGCACTAACTAGCTTAAACCTATGTTGGTCTTTTCAGCATAGAGAATTTACATTTGTAAACTGAAGCTGCTGAAGCTGAAGTGACTAATGCCTGAGAACAAAAAAGCTTAATAGATGCCATTTAGTGTCAAGACATTTTAAGGCAAATGCACAAGATGAAAAAGCAATGTTGTCATTTGTAAGCACTTGAAATGAACTCCATGCACAAACACATTGTTCCACTTATATGCTATTTCTGTTTCCTGCAGCAATGCTCTTCTACCGTGTCCAACTTCACATGCTTTTTTATAACTCTCCATATAAAGCAGTGCCATAGAGAACAAAGTCAGTGCCCCCTTACCCCTGATGGTAGACTGTGATTCCTGCAGCAGGTGTTTGAACAGAAGCAGGCCTGACAGGTGTTTTGTGGAGTGTTTCCATGGCTGCATTGGGCCTCAGAGCACTAAAGATTTTTTGGAATCCTGATTTAGAAACACAAGGTCAGAGTCCTCCAGCTCACAAATCTAAATTTGGGAGCATGTTTGAGTTCAAAAGCCTGCTGAAACTAGAATAGTGAAAGTAATAACATACCTACAGGGGCATATCCAGAATGGAAAGAAATGTGTTGAACCTTTGGGCTCTGACACTAATGACTAAAGTAGGCTTGGGAAAGGAAAAATACCTTGGCAATCACGGGAGTGCCCTTAAATCCAGTTTAGGATTGACTGATGGCCTTATGGCTGTGGTAATTACCCAGCTGGTTAAAGTAATTAATGAGGCTGTGTATATCCTGCATCTGCAGTCGGCCACCCCTGAATGCTGAATGAGATTAGTTTAAGTTTATATGCACTGGTGTAGATAAGAGATCTGGGTGAAATCTACTGTATAGCGTTAATTTCTAAGAACAGCAGCAAATTCACATATCAGGCTTTAAAATTACATTAGACCAGGCAGACATTCTCAACCTTGGGGTTTAATAGTAAATAAAGATTCTCAGCCTTGACATACATCCACTCCCCTGCATCCCCGGAGGATTTTTGGTTTGTCGCAAACGGTTAATATTCAAAAGTGTCAGTGAGCACCCTATAACTGCTGGCTTGCTAACACTTATTTGTGCAAAGCAGGATTCTGTGCTCTTTCTGCATCAAGACCAAATACGCATCCATATTTGATATAACAGCGGAGATGAAATGCAGTTTAAAATCTAATGCCTTTGTCAAGCCGCAGCTTGATACACAAGTCCAGGCCTCTCATCAGACAGGGTGAGTGCTAATGTGGCAGTAAGTTGTCAGGAGATTGAAAATTACCAATAATAAGAACAACTGACCAATCATGATAAAGTATGAACACTGATAGGTTCACCTGTCTGGGCAACGCCAGCCAATCACACTGGGTCTACACCTCACTCTGCCACACTAATAAAGAGATGCCCAAAAATTTGTTAAAGTTCTCGGTTTGCACAGTCAATAAAAAAAAATTTGACTAAAGAGCAAAATAACAAAACGGGCCAAAAAAGGTTGAGGATCCTTGCATAAAGAATAATTCAATAAAACATCCTACAAAATAAAAAGATTTCATATACATGAGACTTAAAAATAGTTATTCTAGTCTATGCTCAATGGTGTTGATGTCAGTAGCGATGATTCACGGTGGGGTTCTTCTTAAGCAAGTGAAAGTAGTTGGGAAAACTGCAGTCATTTCATCACATTAAATCTGAGCATTATCATTATTCAACTACACTTTACTTTGGCTATATAATGTTTAACAATACAGCTTGTCTAAATCATTTCCAGTGGCTGGGAAATATTTTTCGAGTGCAAATAGGAAACCTCACAAATAACCAAAATTCAAAAGGGGTGACCCATCCTCTTCTGGATGGCCTGGTGGAATAAATAGCCTACTCAAAGGATAAAGTGTTATTGTAGTTACCTACAAAAAGATGGCAATTCTTCCACAGCTTAGTCCAGGGTTCCTCAATAGGCGGCCCGTGGGGGCATATCCAGAATGGAAAGAAATGTGTTGAACCTTTGGGCTCTGACACTAATGACTAAAGTAGGCTTGGGAAAGGAAAAATACCTTGGCAATCACGGGAGAAACACTTTCTAAACACCGCTGGAGAATTGTCTTCCTTTCTGAGCGTCGTGTTCTTGCGCATGCGCATTGTTACTTACGCGACGTTTTGTTTCAGTGCTTGTACGAAATAAGGATTTGCGAGCTTGCAGTCGGAATTGAATGGCATAGTATAAAAGACGGTGTCGCAAAACAGTGGTTTAAAACGTCTTTCTATTGACCTGTCCTCGCGCGAGCAAAACAAACGCAAACACATAGTGGAGTCCGCAAAAATAAACCACGTCGCATAGTCTGATACACGACTAAATTATCCGCTTGAATGATTCTTCTTAGTGAATCAAAACATTCTGATTCATGAACAAATGACTCGGACAAATGAGAGGGTCCTTTTTAGTGGATCAAAAACATTCCGCGCAACCCATTCATGACCAAATAACCTTTATGGGCCGATCTCTTCCAAAAGACTAACAAGGTGGTTTAACTGACGAATCCTTCACTGAATTAAAATTGTTCATGTTTAATACTGCATAAAGTCCCCAAAGGTTTAGTTATGTAAATAAAGAAGAAAAAACATCCCATAACTTAATTTTTAAATTTATAATTTTTTTTTCAAAAATCTGTAAAATTAGGTTAATATTAAATTCATTATATATGTCCCTATGCTTAAGCTTATGAAAAACAAAAACACAAATCTGTCTGGCTGTATAATCTCAAAACAGTAGTGTCTTATTTTTCTTCTGCTTTTCTTTCACATTTGTAGAACATACATTAAATGGATATAGTTAGGAACATATATTAGAAACACTACAATATTAGAAATATTAAATATTACACATTTTGTGTATAAGATACCAGAGAACATGGCAAACTGATGGACATTTTTATTGATTGCAATGGATGTTTTTTTTTTTGTTTTTTTACTTGTCTGGGAAAATTACCAGGAAAAATGACTGACTGACGTGTGAAACAAGAACTGAAATGAGAAACAGATAAAAATCTAAAAATGTACCATGATTAATAAGGGTTTGTTCAGTTATAATTCCTCTGTATCTTTCCTCTTCTAAGTTATTGAAATATACAGTAATTCATTCTCTGTTAAATTAATATGCCACATGTAGCGGTTTCATAATAAATGATGTTCCAGTGTGAAACAGGTTGAGTGAGCTCTACGTTTTGGTCTAAAGCAGGGTACAACTCTGCTGATGATGCATGTTTGATGTTTTCTGCTAATTTATAACAAATGTATTCCGTGTTTTGACTTAAACTCTCTCTCTCTCTCTCCTAAACAGATTCATAAATTACGACAAAATAATTTCTCTCCATTGCAAATGCTCATCCAAATCTTCTTACATAAGTCCATTCTGTGAACTTGTCAGCGATTTTGGTAGGCCAGAGTTTGCTGGTCAGTCCAGGGCAAGTGTGGCATGTTCAGATTTTCAAATACGTGAGTGATTTTCAACAGTTTATAAGGCTTATACATAATTGTGGATTTAATCATAGGTGAACCTTTCCATTCAGTACCATCAGAAGTTTAACCTAAGTGTAAAACCCCCTCTTGGACACTTTAAATAATGCATGAACTGAAAAGTTCTGCCTACATCTGTGGTGTGTAGATATAGGCCTACAGTATGTCTGTCTGAATGTGTAATACTCTTCCTTTAAGTCCAGTTTAGGAATGAAGGATGGCTTTATGGCTGTGGTAATTATCCAGCTGGTTAGAGTAATTAATGAGTCTGTGTATATCCTGTGTCTGCAGTTGCCCACCCCTGAATGCTGAACAAGATTATGGCTGGAATCTATAGCATTCATTTCTAAGAACAACAGCAAATTCACATACAGGCTTTAAATTGACCTTGGACCAGGCAGATATTCTCAACCTTGGGGTTTAATAGTAAATAAAGATTCTCAACCTTGACATATATCCACACCCCTGCACCCCTGGAGGATTTTTGGTTTGTCACAAAAGGTTAATATTCAAAAGTGTCAGTGAGCACCATAAAACTGCTGGTTTGCTAACACTTATTTGTGCAAAGCAGGATTCTCTGCTTGTTTTTGCATCAAGCTCAAATACTGATTCATATTGGATATAACAGTGGAGATGAAATGCAGTTTAAACTCTAATGTCAGACTTTGACAAGCCGCAACTTGATACACAAGTCCAACACTATCATTAGACACTATCATTAGAAAGGATGAGAACTAAAAAAAAAAATTTACTAAATAGCAAAATAAAATGATTCAAAAAAGGTTGAGGATCCCTGCATAAAGAACAATTCAATAAAACATCCTGCAAAATAAAAAGATTTCATATACTGTATATGAGACTTAGAAAGAGTTATTCTGGTCTATTCTCATTTCTGTTGATGTCAGTAGAAATGATTCACGTTCTTCTAAAGAAAGTGATAGTAGTTGGGAAAACTGCAGTCATTTCACCACATTAAGTCTGTGCATTATTCAATTATACTGGCTATATAGTGTTTAACAATACAGGTTGTCTAAATCATTTCCAGTGGCTAGGAATTATGTTTCAAGTGCAAATAAAGAGACCTCACAAATAACCAAAATTCAAAAGGGGAGACCCATCCTCTTCTGGCTGGCCTGGTGGAATAAATAGCCTATTGAAAGGATAGAGTGCCATTGTAGTTACAAAAAGAGGGCACTTCTTCCACAGCTTAGTCCATTTGTCTGCAGTCCATTCTGTCCACTTCTGAATAGGTGGGTAGTGCGGATAGTGACATGGAGCCACGTCACTGCATTTCCAGCACAGACAGGTCCTATTCACTTCAGTCCGATGAGGTTAGGAGGTTTAAGCTTTATTTAAGACCCAAAATGAACATTCTGTCATCATCTACTCCCTTGTGTCCTTCCAAACCTCTATGATTTTCTTTCTTCAGTGGAACACAAAGAAAGATTTTTCATTCTATACAGTGAAAGCACAAAAATCTGAAAATATACTATAAAATATATGGCTTTATGCACCATATTCAACCTCTTTAGAATCATTATGATAGCTATACTGTATAAACGGATAGATATATACTGTACGGTTAGTCACTTTGAATAAAAGCGTCTTCCACATGAATAAACAGCTCTGCCTGATAGAGTTAAGGCTGTAAAAGTGCACCGTCCTGTGATGTTATCAGTCTACTCATACATAAAACATCTGTAAAGAGTGATGGTCCATTCATGTGAGTGACATGAAATTATGAAACACATAACAGGGGACAGAAGGAGCGAAAGGATGTAGAGAAGGGGAGGAGGAAAAGACTGTAAAGTGCTGCTGTCTGAATGTTTAAGGGCAGAAGGGTGCCATTGGTTAAAGTCTGACACTTCAAAGCATGCAGCAAGAGCTGCGTTTGATGTAACGCAAGCCTAAAAGCAAACAACTGTCTGTCTGCTTCTGTGCTACATGCATCTCACATGACCCTGTGGACATTTCATCTAACACGCACACACATTCGCACACAATCGCCAGTTTCCCATGTGTTTACTTTACCGTTATCACTCCAGTGCTTTTTATGGTGGTGTCACATTTCCCGTCCCTTTCGGCAATTCAGTTTTGCTTTAACAAGTTAGAACCTGACAAGCTTATAATCTGTGACCTCAATAG